ATGTTAGAACAATATATGTCTGTTCATTGAATCTGGAGGATCCCATACGACATATAGCAGCAAAACTAGGGATTCAGATTCAAATGTCAGGAATGAACTCCCAAGTAGTCTCAAGTTCCCATAGAAACCCATAAAAAGGCACATAAAGCAACAAGACCGGCAAGAAAAGGAAGATTCCCTTTCCTTTACCTGCTCTCTTCATGATCGCATTTTCATTACCTGCAGCAACAGCGGCAGCAGCCATGCTTGCCTGCTTCACATTATCTCTCACCCTACTAAAGCTAGACACCCGCTCAAGAGCCCGATTTGCATTCTCTGCAGCTGATGCAGGAGTAGTAGGTATTGACTCAAGGAAGGCCCAGAGAGCAGAAGACAGTCTACTTGTAGGAACTTGTCTCACACTGCCACTTGATTACGGTTACCTTCAGTAGGCAAGCTGGCAGATTCATAAACCACACCTATACTAATGACCAGAAACTAGCAGATATTAGACATAGTCTATATGTTATTTCTTTTCTTTTTTTTTTTATACAACAGCCACTTCAAACAAGCTCAAGTCACATTAATGTTAGAATCGAAAGCTCTCAAAGACGCCACAATACTAATAGTCAAGGAAGGTTTTCTGCCATGCATCAGCAGGCTATCAACCAATAGCAGTCAACTTCAAAGAGTTCAGCACAAATGAGATGTGAAGCTCGCAACTCCATTTAAGTCAAAGATAGTAAAATCGTTATTTTGGAGTTGAGATAAACCACCAACTCTGTTTGTGGCGCTGATGAGTGTACCTGAGGTTGACGAAGAGAAAGAAACATTAGCATGTTCTGTTGGACTCATGATGTGACTTTCATGACGCATCCAGAGTTCACAACTTTGATCCGCATTGCCTCCAAGGGGTAGAGATTGATAATGCTGATTCACAACATTACTCTCCAAAGTATTCACATAAGGATGTGAAACAGTTTCCTGGTCAATATGCCCCATGTCACGAAGAAACATCTCTGCATCATGGAACAAGTCAAATGCACTTAATCCATCTTCAAACTCCATGTTCTCCACAGGATTTTCTATTTCTGGCAATGCTGGTTCAGGATCAATGAGATCGTTCATTTCCAAGAAGTCATCCTCGTGAAAGAGAGGCTCCTCTAACTGAACGCTGGGAGCAGAAGTGACTTCAGGTGCTTCTGAAACATGCATGTGAGCGGTAGCTGATTGGGTAGGGTCATAGCAATGACCGCTTGAATGAAACATTTTGATTGGCTCTGCAATTGTCACTTTCCTTTGAAATTTGATCGAGCACATCTTCAGCAGGAACCTATAATGGATGATCATAAAAAACAGAGTTAATGATCAATCATGCCAAATAAAATAATGCAGCAACCAATAATGATTGAATTACGAGAACTGCAAGTTAAATTATGTTTAAATGACATCATGCCAGAAATTAACATGTAGCAGTAAAGTCATCATAAGCTGTTCAGAGAAAAAAATGGCTTGGCCAAGTGAAGCGGAAGACCAAAAGCACATCACATATACTCTCAATCCCAGACAATATTCTTTTCTACCTGCCCAAAGTCCATACAATGTCATGGCTTTTATGGAATGTTAGCCTACATTAGTCATGCCAAGATCAGAGCAACGAAGATAAAATTGATGAATAAAATCACCTTTCTACAAACCGCAACCACAAAAAAAAGAAGAAAAAGCCACAATTGAAGTGATACAATAAAAAGAACAAATATTGAGATAATGATGGACCCAGTGATAATCAATTTACAGTGTTTATGTTAGTAAAAGAAGAAATAATAACAAAGTTTGGTCAAATGTCTCACAGTGTGTGTGAATAGAGAAGAGAAATGATTTGGTTTCTTCATGGGTTTTAGGCATAATGACGGGAAGAGAAAAAAAGGAAGATTTTCCAAGGGAGGAGACCAGTAGGCATTTTGAAACCAGGAATCATTGCTGTACTTCTTTTTTCTCTCTTACAACATGCTTCAGCTAAATATTTGTTCTGCCACCTATTCCTCCCCATTTCTGTCAACTGAGAAGGATAGGCAGCTTATGCATAAACAAAACAGAGTTCTGAAGGTTCCATCAGAAACGAACCTGAGGTAAGGCAGGACACAGTGAAGGCAGGTCAGGAACCAGCTCATCCATCATTCTTTTCAAGACCTCATCAAGGTCAAGATCAAACAAAGGCTGCGCTTGACCATTACAAGTCCCAGTGTGAACAGAAGGACCCTCATCAACTTGTGAAATTGGAGCCTCATCAGCTGAATTAACATTAACATCTACAAAGTCATCATCTCCCCATTCTTCTTCTATAAATGGCGCACCATACTGTTCACCATTTTTAGGACCAGGTCCGCTTTTCTTGAACACCTTGTAAAGGGCATAATAGTCCTGATAATTTTCATATTAAAACACAAAGTTTAGTAAATAATACGTTTTCACTATCAATATGAGTTTGAAAAGACAAAAAAGAAAAGTTAGAAAAAGCAGAAGGGACAGTTGAAGATGACACCTTAAAATTTTGGCATCTTGCAACTTCTTCTTCTTCTAATGTGTACTCATGCATAACCCAATCAGTTCGCTCACCATGTGGTGCTCTACCTCTATAGAAAACCAGGGTCTTTTTCACCCCAACTGTCCGAGAATTGTAGGTAATGTTACGATCTTTTCCTGTTGCTTTCCAGTATCCATATCTTGTTGCTCGATTAGTCCTGCCACTATTAGGATACTTTCTATCTCTAGGGCTGAAAAAGAACCATTGCCTATCTCCAGTTTTCAGCACTGACTGCCCTACAAAATGTTCCAATTATAAGCAGATAAGCAAACGAGAAGGTTGACAAACAAAGTTAACTGATCATATTAAAGGGTAAAAAAATATTCGAAATTAAAAGTCACCATTCACGCTGATGAAACACAAAGAAGAAAAGCTAATGTTGGATATAAATAAGGACAGAATGGCTAGAGAGATACGGGCATGTATCTAACATTCTCAAGCATTAAGACATCCGCAACTTCTTTTTCCAAACCACGACTTCCATAAACGGTTGTCTTGCACACAATATCAATCCTAAACAAAATCAGAAATCCATTAATAACCTTACATTCCAACAGGTACTTATGTCGAGAGATTTGTGGGGAAACTAAAAATGCTTGTCGGTATGTGATTCGCGCACACGCGACAAGAGGTCTGAACACACCCAGATAATGCCTTGTTCATCAAATTTAGCAACTAATTATCAATCTGATATCACAGTCAAATCAAAGGAATAGAAACTCATCCAAACGCCAAACGATCAAAACGCATTCGCAGAATCACATGCCAAATAAACAATAATTTAAGCTTCAACTGCTTCCTATTCTAACCAATTCGAACCACAATAACATATTACACAATAAAATTCACGGACAAGAAGATCTAAGTTCATACCCTATTTAATATCAAACCGAACAAACAAAATATAAAACCCAAACCCTAACACCAACGACCCGCAAACCCCCCACCGAAAAAACCAAAGTCAACGCCTACGCAAACAAAGATGATTTCGAGAGTAGAACAAATACCAGGCAATTCCTCAGGATCCCACTTGTAGACATCAATTTCACGAATTACATCGAGCTTCAGCTTCCTCCTACACATCTTCCTCTTCAGATAGTACATGACTAGTTCCTCATCGGTAGGATGGAACCGAAACCCCGGCATCGAAGCCATCATCCGGCTGAAACACTCTGGAGAAGAATCCGACGCCACCGTCATTTTCGATTCAATCCCGAACAAAAAGAAAAAAACGAAATTCCAGATTTCCCACAAACAAAAACCACTCCTTGGATCCAAAATTAGAATCAAGAAGCCACTAATCAAAAACTACATGATCCGATAGAAAATCCTAGGGGTGAGAGTGAGAAATCAGAGACAGTGTGATCGTGTGAAAGAGGTCGAAATGAATTTCCGCGACGCTATCGAATGAGAGAGATAAAGGGCTTTGTTCGGACTTAGGGATAGTGTTGCGGTCAAACAAGCAACTGGGCATTGCTCGGTCTACCAGTGGCCCTTGAAGAAGTTTCCCGGAAGCGCCAACGAGTAAGAGAGAGTGAAGATTCACTGATTCAGTAGTTTCGGGACTGAATGGTCCTGTGACGTCACCATGTGTGACAGCCGCCAGATCTGAGTGTGTTGGATCAATAGCAAAGAAAATCTCAACCGTCCATATTAAAAGTGGAAGGTTTGAATCTAATTTTATTTTATGTTTTAGATTTTTAAAATTTAATATTTTAATAAGAATATAATATAATCTTCACTCAAAAAAACATAGAAAAAAAATTATATACTAAATATTATATGCATGAGATGCTTATTTTCTATCAAATGAAAGCATATATATTTTTTATATATTATTTATTATACAATAAATTCTTATTCTTGTTATCAATATTCTTAACACTTTAAATTTACCTGTTCATATTTGATTTTTCCCAGGAATATATTAAGTGTATAAAAATAAATATTTAAGTATTTTTCAATAAAATGTGAATAAAGGTAATTTTTTTATAATTGCCGGGTTGAAAAAATTGATCAGGTTTTTTAACTTAAAAATTGGTATAGGTAATGTTTCAAATATTGGCATGAAAACCAAGTTTCATTGGAATCAATTTTTTTTTTTTAGCAATCCTTTTGATTTGGCTTCAATATTTTTTATGGTCAAATTAATCAAACACCATGGATTGATCATTTTTATATATTTATTATAATATAATTTAAATAAAACGAAAAATAAATGGATATTACACCTCAAATCTCAAAATATAAATAAATAAAAGAACGTGAACAAAATATATTAATCAAAAATTAAAATAAAGACAAACTGAGGGTATTACAGAGAAAGGTGATTCATTTTGGATTCAATGAAGGCTGATTAGAGTGTGAGGCTTTAGAGAACATGGTCTTATGGTGGACTTTGGTGCATGTGATTATACCCACAAGTGTGAACATGGTTTCATGAGGGAATTGTTTAGGATTGGTTGGTTTGTTTCTTCCAAGTTAATTTTAGCTCATGTAGTAGGAAAGGTGGACTTTTTATTTCGTTATATATAAATTGTATTTTAATTTAGTTTTGTCAATTGACAAAATAGTTCTAATGTTATCCTTTAGCTGTTCAAGTTAGTCTTTCTTTCCATCATTGAAAAAATTTAAAAAAGAAAAAAAACAACAACAAAAAACATCAAATCAAACTTAACATATTGCTGACCATAATTAGAACATGTGTTTTAATGATAATGAAGGGACAAAATTTTGAAGTTGACATTACAAACTGAATTATTCAATTATTGTTTTTTTTTTAGGTTACATACTTAATTGTTAAGTTTTAGATGGAAATAAAAACAAAAGAATAAAATTGAAAATATTATGATGATAAAGAGATTATACATAAATCATCACCCAAGTGTTATGGTCAGTCATCTGAAAAAAAAAATTGACAATGTAATTTTTTAATCTTATTTTTAATAGAATTTGAAGGTTTTAAATCTTATTTTATTTATGTTTTAGACTTTAAAATATATTATTTTAATGATAATAAAATATAAAATAAACATACTTTTTATAATTTTTAATTTTAAAAATTGATCCTATTTTAACTTAAAAATGGTGTAAATTTTGTCCAAAAAATAAGTATGAAATTCAAGTTTCATAGGAATTGAAGTTGCATTTTTTTTAACTTTTACTATTCTCTCCTTTTGTCTAAATTCTAGTATTTTTTTTTTTTATCGGGGATCTATCAAACAAATTAAGTTTATCAGTTTTATTTATTTATAATTAAAATGGAAAAGAAATGGATATTACACCTCAAATATTTTAAAAAATTAAAAAACAAGAACATGACAATTTAGATTATCAAATATTCACAATTTAGAATTAAGATAAATTGAGGGGAATGTAGGATTAAAGTTGGACTCACCGATTAGTTTTTTCTGTATCAGGAAAAAAAAAAAAGGTTGAATCACTGATTAGGGTGTGAGATTTTAGAGGAACATGGTCTTAAGGTGGAGTCAGGTGCATGCGATTATACCCATAGTGTGAACATGGTTTTATGAGGGAATTGTTTAGGAGTGTTTGGCTTTGCTTCCTCCAGATTAATTTAAGCTCAGATGGCAGAAACTAGAACGGATGTACTTTTATTTTTTATATATACAAAATATATTTAGAGTTAGATTTTTTTTAATTTGATAAAATATGAATTGATACTAATATTGTACTTAAATCCATATGAATATAGAAAATGTCTTTAGAAAAATTATGTCCAATTAAACTCAACAACATTTAAATTTAATTATTAATGTTGTACTATATCATATAGTTATGTTTAAAAAATGGAAAATGACAAGTCAGAACCTCATGAAATATTAATGTCATATTAAATTTTTTAAAAAAAAATTAATATTGAAATATAAAAGAATGAGTAATAAATAAATTTTAGTTATAAAGAGATTCTAATTTAACATTAATTTTCTTATTAGGTTTACCTGCATTTTCCCTTAAAAGAAAAGTTCAAATGTTACCCTTTAGCTGGTCAATTTGGTGTCTTCCTCTCTCTCTCTCTCTCCTCTCTCTCTCTCTTCATCATTGAAAAACAAATAAATTCAAACGTAACATATTGCTGACCGTAATTGGAGCATGTGTTTTAATGATAAGGACGGAACAAAAAACTGAAGTTGAGATTGCTGAATTATCCGAATCATCACCAAAAGTCTTAAGTTCTAAGTTTTTTTTTAATTACATACTTAAGCTGTAAGTTTTAGATGAAAATTAAAACAAATGAACGGCATTGAAAATATTATGATGATAAGAGATCATAAATAAATCATCTATTTGAGCTTTGAGGTGTCTCTCTCTTAATGGATAACATTGCTTTATAATGCATAAAAATTTGACCATAACTCATAAAGTTGTAAATTTAAATTTCATTATTTATGTGAGAATTTTGTTAATAGATGATTTATAAATACTTTATAGGCACTTTTTAAATATGAAGGTATGCTCTAAATATATTGAACTTTTTAAACTCAACTCACATAAATTTTCTTTGGTTGAAAATAAAAAAAAAACTAATGTTAGTTGAGAGATCTTCAATCTAAACGTGAATATCTATATCTCTTGTAAATTGCTTATTAGTTATTACAGCACCAATGATGCACTTTTTTTTTTAAGAAATTAAAGAGGAACCAGAGTACTCACGTATATGGCTTATGAAAAACACAAAATCCCAAGTTCATTTGAACCAATTTCGATTTCTAAGAGTGGTTATTTTTTCAACTCAAGGATAAGATCCAAATAAAGATGAACAAAGGTCTGACTAACTTATTACTCCAAACTCAAAAGACTAGCTCACAACTACCAAAAAAAAAACCAAGATAGTTGGCTTTGAAGTTTTTTTTTTTAAAAAAAAACATAATCACCTATCTTTATATTTTCATCGAGTTTTATTTTCAGTCATTGTAATTTTTTTTAGTGTCTTTAGTCTCTATAATTTTAAAAAGATTAGGTGGTTTTTATTTTTTAAGATCCCATAGTTTTAGTTTTTAAAATGTTTTTAGTCCTTATAAGAATTGAAAATACTGAAAATAATATAGGGACTAAAAACAAAACACAATAAAATTATAGGAACCAAAAAATATATTTTTTCTTTCTTATTACCTATAAATATTCTTTTATTAAAAGTAATCTTATTTAAAATATAATTAAATATTAAATATGAGTATATCTTTTAATAAAAATTTATACCTTAATTTATCACGTTACGCTTATATGACAAAATAGACTAATATGCTTCTAGAAAGCCTTAGTGCGTGAAACAAAAAGGAATTCTCTAAGGCCAATGGGAATTTTGCTGCGATGAATCCCCTGTTGTCACTCTTGTGAATTGCTTCAAAAATTTGTGAACTCTTAGAGTGTGTTTTTTGCCTTTGGAGTTTGGACTTTTAAATAGAGTTAGAAATATAAATTGGGCATATTGAGATTCTTTTTTAAATTAAAATATTTTTATATAAAAGGACTTTTATACTTGTCTTTTTAAAATTTTTAAAAAAACACTCGAGCTCAAGCTTGGATTACCTATTTAAGCAAATATTTATTTTAACCTTAAAAAACTATAATATTATATAGATTTGGATTAAATTTAAACTTTAAAATAAGTGTTTGTACTTTAACATTATAATTTGTTTCACTCTTTTTGAATTTTAAAACATTTTAATTTGTACTTTAGAATAAAATATAATAATGACAAATTTAATTTAAAAATAAAAAGGGCTTTCAAACCTAGCCCTGAACTCCAATTAATAAGATCCTAACTAAGAGAATTAATTAATTTTGGGATAATGAGGCTTCTAAATCTAAGTCTGCCCCACAGCTTTACTTCTAAATAAGGTGATTCAAATTCCAACAAGAAGTTTGAAGTGAGATCTTGACACCTAAACCAACTTTATTTAAGTTGTTTTAGCCCTCGAGACACTCTATAACCATGTCATAATGATTGCAAAGTAGAGCTGTAATTTGGAAGGGTCGGACTTACTCAAGTCAAACTCATTTTGAGCCAATTTATTCAGATCGAGCTTAAAGTATTATACTTAAAATCTATATAACTAAACTTGACCCTAACTTTTTTGGTAGGGTGTGGATTGGCCTATCGAGCTTGATCAAAATTACGAACTCTATATATATATAGAGAGTCAGAAATTTCAATGGTCAGCCTCAATTCTAGTCGGACTTATTCAAATCAGGCTTAAAGTATCATATTTTTTTAAAAATGTTTATATAACTAAGCCTGATCTAATTTTTTTTAATAGGTTTGGGCTGACCCATTAAACTTAACCTAAATTCAAGCTCTATTATAAAGATTTAAGGTCATATTTGGTTTGTGGGAATATATGGAAATGGAGTGGGCATGGGAGAGGGAATCAACAATCTAGATGTTTGGTGCATAGGAATACCCATTCCAATACAATAGCCCACTCCATCGTTTAAGGCAATGGCTATTCCA